CTCCCCTGACCAGAGCCCCCACCCCTGCCTGGCCAACCATGTGGGCAGCAACGCCTCCCAGATGGTGGCCTGGGTTCTGCTGGAGGACCATGGGGAGGTCGAGGTGTGGTACCAGGCATGGAGTGCTGTGTCTGCCCTTTCCTCAGCCTCCCCCCAGGCTTTTAGTTTACCCAGCAACGATCTCACCAGCTTTAGCTTCTGCCAGCCTTTGCTCTCTCTGATAGGGCATGGGACATGAAGGCAACACACCTGAACTTCCACTTGGTGGGGTTTAACCCACCTCTGCCAGCCCAGATACTTTTGCTTTCCACGAAGGAAAATGTTTCCCCTTTGCCTGCAAGGAGCCTACTACTACCACCACTACAGGGCTTCACTGCTCACAGATGCACCCAAAACTGCTCCATGCACACAGAGCTCTGCGCCACCGCTGCCTTACTGGACTAATGAAGTTCAAACTAAAAATACTTCTGACAATAGCAGTGCTTTTGGGGTGAGATGGTTGCACAAGACAGGCTGAAGCAGCACTGGCATGACCCAACGGTCCTCCAGAGCACCACTGGGAAACAGTCATCCTCTGGAAGCAACTTTTAATGGCAACCAGAATTCACAATTCCCAATTTTTTCCTAATCCTGAGGAATAAGCCAGTTTTACAGGACTTCTGAGTCCATGTCCTACCTAGCAGGAAATCTGTCTCCTGCAGAGACTGTCACTTCTACCCCCACACACCCCTTTTTCCTAGACATCTAATCGTGACACTGAATGCCAGGACCATGGAAATCCTGTTTCTAAAGATTATTTGCTTTTGAAAGAAACATCTCACACTTGTTCTGCTAGTGTGGCTTGGCTGCTCAAAGCTTCCCGCACATGACCCAGCCCACAGGTCTTCATGCAAGCAGCAGCATTCCTCCGACCTCCGCAGGCTGTTGGACAGCCTTGCCCACACAACATGCTCCCTGGGACCCACGGCAGATGGCTCCTGCAAAGGTGAGCCCCTCTGCTTGGTCTCTGCAGGTGTGGTCTGCATGAGGTTCCTTTTCTGCATGACCAGAGGGACATGAAGCACAGGAAGAGCCCAGGGAGCTTCAAGGAAAGCTGTGCTAGGTTCAAGACTCACAGAAAATACAGATTCTTTTAGGTCTCAGGTTTGCCCTCAAGCCCGTGACAAAACTTCACAGATCTGCTTTTGCAACAGACAGCTGAAGGAATGGGATGAGATGAGGTGCAGGAGGCAGGGGTCAGTCTGCAGTGAGTGAAGTACCTTCTGTAGGTGCAGGCACCTTCACTTCAGCTGATTTTTACCAATTTCTGATGTTGATCACAGCCAAGCTTTAGTCACAGAAACTGAGAGAAAATGCATCTCGGTCTTAGCCTTAGGGCAGCCTGTTTTTAATGAGGGAACACCGCTCCTAACACCAAGGCCAGCACATCCCCTGCCACAGCGATGACAGACACTGCTTTCCTGAGCCTGCTGGATCACAGCCACATAAAACTTCCCACAGCCACCCCAGTTTCACCAGTGGTTGCCTTGAACAGGCCCACATCCTGGAGGAATTTGAGCAAAGAGTGCTCCCAAGTAGGGTCTTGCACATACCATGCACTTTATTTCAATCCAGTGCCCCAAGCCCTTTTTTCTGTGAGTGCTGCCCACACAGCCTGCGAGTTTATGCCAGGTTTTCCTGCATTTAGGCCAAGCACACGCACCCTGCCAGCTGCGGTACATGTTGCCTCTCCCAGCAAAGGGATAGCTGACTCCATTTCCTTGACTTCTTCCTGGCACTGACCCTGTTTATACGGCACATCGAGTGTAAGGCCAGGTAAGAGAGGATGAACAGCCTCTTCCCGTGGAAAACAGAGAGAGAAAGAACAAGTCTTTGCTACCTAAAGAGATGTGTTCATTCTCAGAGGCTTGAAAAAAGAGGGAGCAGGACCAGCCTGGGAGCTTGCGTGCTCAGAAGCAGTACAGGTAGGTGCCACAAACGTGAGCGCGCACATGGACAATCCTCCGTACAGAGACTTAGGGGCACCCGCTGCTGCTCCTGCAGCGCAAGAAAGAAAAAGCACGGCCCTACTTGAGGACAATCAGCACAGCCCTAACTCTTTGTGCTCTTCCCTGTGCTCAGCTTTCAACCCTGTGAACAGCGCACACAGCCCCAGTGTTTTGTCAAAGGGAGGGGAAAGCGAACACGTATTCCACTGGGATTTCATGGATTGTATTCATTTCCAGACCAAGCCTATTTAATTAGGGAGAGGAGGGAAAGGGACAGGGGAAGGGCAGGAAGAGGGAACACCACAGGTGATGGCAAAAGAGAATTTACAATAAAAGGAAGCTTGCTCCTTTAAGCAACGGCTACCAGGGTCAGCCACACTACACGACTATTCCAAGCCACAGCAGCAGGGGAGGAGTATTTTAAAATACGAATCAGCCACACACTGCCTTTGACAAACGGACTTGAAAGAAGAAACAAAGGGAGCACACCTCGCCCCTCCAACCCGGCAGCAGCAGAAGGGGGTCAAGCACTCCCCTGGCCTGGAGAAAGAGGGGGGGGCAGCAGCAGCAGCAGCATAGCCTCTCTCCTGCACAGTGCTGAAGGCTATCAGGCAGGAGTCACAGTCCAACAACACAAAATAAAATGCACAACTGGGTTGATACTGATGAGCGTGCTTCCAGGCCCTGTGTTAGTCTTGGCACACCCTTGCCAATGCGACCAAAGTGAAGAACTCTTCATTTCAATTCATGCAGAGCTCAGAACAGCGCTGACTTGTTCTAGCGTAAGCACCTGCCCTGCAGACCAGGGAGTCACGTCATGAGGAGTAGAAAAAAAAAAATTCAGC